TAATTTTCTAAAGAAAAAAACAATTCATCCTGGCACTGTTGGATCTGGATCCTAATACGATGATGTCAGAAATTTTGGTTTTCACTTCTGAGTTCTGTATTGACTTCGTGCTTAGGCAGCCTTTCCTCCACGGCAGCAAAATAGGCTGACATTTTACCAGTGGAACTGGATTCTTTTTCCTTATAACAGTTCTGGCATAAGTCTCAAAACTGTGAATTATTGCCTTGGCTTGGATTGACAGGCATCAGTCGTCACAGCCAAGGCGAGAGAATATTCTGTTGTCTATTTCTAGGACTGCCTGCTCTCCTGGATTTGGGGGTGGAATACAATCAGCCCTACCAAACCACATGGACTGAGAACAAGGGGAGGTGGTCCTCCAAAGGAATAGCAACAGAGTGTTGCCACTAGAGGAAGAGGAATGGCTGCTGGCTCATCAATAAACGATTTCTCTCTTACACTGACCTAAAGTCCATCTTCATTGCTTTATCATTTGAGGCCCTGTATTTCCAATTCTCTTCTCTGGTCCAGGGAACAACCATTTAGATAAGTGAAGATGCTTCTCATATCATTCCAGAGCCCTACTGTGTCCAGACCAAAGAGATCCTTCAACTGTTCTCTTAGGATGTGGCTTTGAAGCCCTTTATTTTCTTTATGGTTCTCATCCAAGCTTGATCGGATTTATTTGTATCTGTTAAAGAGTGAGACTCAAGAGATTTGGTAATTACATTGACTCTCCTGAAATTACTTTTTTTAAAATCCTTATTCCTTCTAGAGCTATCGATCCTAGGAAAAAAAAAAAAATAGCATAAGCACATAAAGATATATGTACAAAATGTTCAATACAGTGTTGTTTGTAACAGAAATGAATTATTTGAACATCAGTGAGAAACTAGTTAAATAATTTATGGTGTATCCATTCAATAGAACACTACAAGGTTATGAAAATGAATAACGTATATCTAACGCTTCGCTCTAAATAAGTACGAGGTACATTGTTAAGACAGGAAAGGTGCTGACCGATAAGTGTGGCACGATTCTATTTTTTTATTTTTTATTAATGTGTACGTGTATGCACAGGGCAACATCAGAAAGTTTATATTGCAAACTTCCAGCAAATGGAACTGGAAAGGTAAAGAGATATTTCGCTTTTTAATTTATGTAATTTGAAAAGATGATATTGTGGGAGAATTTTTTACTTTCCAATTTAAAATAAAACAAAGTCCTTTGTCAGAAATTGTTAGTTTGATTAGCAGAAGACAATGATAACTGAGGTGACCAGGAAGCTTGAAGCTAATTTTTTAAAATATATAGACATGAAAATGAAATATATTCTGCTAGAAAAAGCAGATTAGCAAATAGACAAAAATAATAATAACTTCTAGCCTCGCTCTTCAGAGATAATCAATGTTAACATTTATTTTACATTCTTCCAATATTTTTTAGTTAAATTTAATCTTTAATTGCAATTATCATCCCAGCTTCTAGATCGTTTACTTCCCTCTTCCTGTATAGAGGGTTTAATGTTTATTTTTAACTTCAATGTTAACTAGGTTTTTTTTTTATTTGTTTGTGTATTTAACTGCAACCTTCTTCAGTTTAATATCAAAGAAATAAATGGCATATAAATACAGCAAAATTGGAAGCTGAGAGAGGGAAACAGTTATGAGTATAATGAGCGGGGCAGATTTTTGGCTCTGAGTGGGGCTAAATATGGCTGAGCAGGACAGAAACAAGAAGGGAGCAGAAAAAGAGTAGGAGGGGAAGAGAAGTGACACTAGATGGATCAGTGTATTCAGAAATATGATTATTTAAATTGCCTGTCTGGCTCTTTTTTTTGTATACCAGCTCATTTTCATTTTAAACCCAGGGCAGAGGCAAATTGATTTGCATACTGGCCCTCAGGGGAAGAGTCTAGGAGATTGTGGTCTCTTTTCTGACAGCCAGAGGTAAGGCAGAAATCAGGCTGGCTTCCTGAAGTCCTAGGTGCCCAAAGCTAACCGCAGCTCATCCCACGCCACCTCGACTTAGCAGCATCAACATAAAAGTACTGTGGATTGTATTTTAAACCAGGGGATTTACCCAGCACATACATATTGTGTACAGTATGGAAATCTCCCCACCCTCACATCCTGCCTAGCTCACAGTGCCCTCTCAGGTACATATTCATTGAAAAGGCTATTTATAGTTGTCTTCTTGCCTTGCTTTTCAAAATAATAGATGGGGAGCAAACATGATTGACTTGAAACCTCTTCCCATATAAATATGTAAACTTCACCCATCTATAACCTTGCATGTGTACATACTCTATACAGTGTTTTGTGTTTTCACTCTTCACATCTCTTCAATCTTAGGCCCTTTAAAAATTTTAAATGTATAGAAAACTATACTCAGAATTGTGGGTTTGTCAATTTTTCTTCTAACGAAACAATTATTGTTGGTTTTAAATACTGTGATAAGTGAAATACTATTAGATCCACCATTCATTCAGTTCATTCGGTATCACTCTATCATGTATTTAATTGCCCTCCTGTTTCATCAGCATGTTCTACTGGACTGTAAGCTTTCTGAAGTTAAACTCATGGCTTATACATGCTTCATTATACATGCTTCCTTGTTAGGAAGAATTACCCCAAACTTGTAAATTAAAAAATTATAAAGCAGGCAACATGTCCTTTCAATGTCATATCAAAGCACTGTTTAACATGCCTGCCCAAGGATTATTTAATTATCTAAGAGAAGGAAGTGAGACGATGGGATCGGATCAATAAATCAAGACTGTCTATTATTGCTGTCTATTATTTTTAACAGCTCTATCGAGGTACATTTTGCATGTCAGAAAATTTATTCATTAAAAATATACAGTTCAGTGGTTTTTAGTATGTTCACAGAGTTGTGTAATTACCACTATATAATTTTAGAGCATTTTCGGCACCCCAAGAAGGCTATTACTGATTAAAATTCCAGACTCTGTCAAGTTCTATAATAACTTATAGATTTTTGTTTAAAAGAGATGAAAATGATTTTTTAGTAAAAAAAATTATAATTTCACTTTCTTCAATGTAAATGCATATATCTAATTTGCCTTTGAACCAACTTTACCATCCAAAATGGTGGTTCCCTCACTGATGAGTTAATTAAATCTTTGGAGTGTTTGCATTCTATATTAGTATGAGAGTCATATTTACCAATTTTTGAAACTTGTATTTTGATAACCTGAATGTTCTTAGCCATAATGGGCACATAGTGAACAATAAATAAATATATCCTTTTTTTTTTTTTTTTTTTGAGAAGGGATGTATCAGACTTTTAAACTTTCGGAGGAAAGGATAAATGTTTGAAAGATCTTAAAGAAAAATCGGAAAATGAATTTTGAATAATATTCTGTATTTTGGTTCTCAAATTCTAAAATTTGCTGCCAGAGAAAGTTAAATTTGAACAAAGCTATTTACTAGCTTAACATTTTTATAACCCTATAAACTTAAAGTATTATTTATTTTTGTGTAAGTGGTATATGCAATGGAACAAAATCTGAAAGTTATAAAAAGGCAGGCCCCGGAAAGTAAGTCTCCATCCCACCATTTCCCTTAGCCAACAAGCTGCCCCAAGGTTTCTGCTGTTGCCAGTTTCTCGTGCATTCTTTCACACATATACACTAACACATAAGCATACATTTAAAATTTTTTTATTCAAAAATATATGGCATACCATATATGCCATTTTGCAACTTGCTTTTTCACTTTCTAATATTTATTGAAAATTGTTCAACATCAATATACATAACAGTTGCCTCAACCAGACCATGTCTAGTAGCTGATTACTTCTCACTATTTTCACCGCTACCACACAAGTCTTATCCATCACCATCTCTTGCAGGAGCCACTCAGTCTCCATGTCTGTCCTCACTGTTCCTTTACAATCTCTTTTCATCATGGTGGCCAGAATGATCCTCTATATATGTAGGTCAGATCATCTGGCATTTAGAGGAAAGCCAAAGACTTCCTAATGCCTTATAAGGTCTGTCCAGCGTGATCTGCTCCCTATCGTCGCCGCCTCTACCTCTTAACGCATTTCCAACCACTTTCCCTCACTCCATTCTTGTCACTGAAGCCCCCTTGGTATTCCTCTAACACGCCAGGCATGGATCTTGGCCCTTGCTATTCCCTCAGACTGAGAGGCTACTCTCCCAGACATCTGCATGGCTTCCTCCCCGAACTCCTTTAGGTCTTTGCTCAAAGATTGCTTCTCATTGAGCCTTCCTTGACCACCACCTCTAGCTCCTCATCCCCTGCATATGCTCCCATCCCACCTGCCTACTTTATCTTTCTCTCTAGTGTTTATCGGCATTGGGCATACCATATATTTTACTCATTTATTGTCTAGGTACACGCTCTATGAGAACAAGGTACTTGTTTGTCCATTGCTGTGTTCCTAGCACCTACAACAGGGCCTGGAACAAAGTAGGCATTTAATAATATTAATTCAATGAATGGATGAATTTATGCTGCCTAGTACTTGGATATTTGTGTTCTGTTTTTGTGACCCAGCCTAGTGCAGTCTCACCATTTGGTTTCTTGTGACCTTGAAGTTGCTTAACCTCTCCAAGCCTTGATTTCCTCCTCTATAAAGCAGGGACAGTAGCTGCACCTACACTTTACAGGGCTGTTGTGAGCATTAAAATTTTTTAAAGACTGCTAAGTGGATAGCACCATACCTGATTTGTAGTAAGTTCTCGATAATATGATTGATTTCTTTCATTACTAATCATTCATCAGAAATGGACTTTTGAGAAGAATACATGGTCGAGTATAATATAGAAAAACCTCATTTCTTATTTTTAAACCTAATAGTGTCAACTTTGAGTGATTATGTCTTTACAATGGAATAAAAGCCACTTTGTTCTTTTTTCGGAGAAGTCATTTAACATCTTTAGAAAAAGCATTTTAGTGCTTCAGAGGTACAGACCTTTATCTTTGCATTTCTATTTTCTGGATGGTCTGGAAAATAGTAGTTGCTCGATACATTCTGTTGAGTAAACAAATGAAAGAGTGAATCTCAATGGGCACAAGCAAGTTCATATTTATTGAAAAGCTGCAATGTGTCAGGTACTGCAGTAGGCACCAGGGATATAAAAAAGAACATTTGGGGGTTGAAGTTTATTTCAAGACCTTCACATAGTTATCACTGACTTTGGGGGATATGTTTTATCTCAGAAGTAGTTTTCTAACTGAGGGAGGGGGAATTTGGGTTCACCACCTTGTGCAAAGTGAAAAAAAAAACTCCAGAAAGACGTCTTTGCCCTAATTTCTCTGAAGAGCTTTTCAACGAAACAAAATGTCAGTGGTTTATCAGGTAGACATCAAGAGTGTTGCAGCAGGCATACCAGTGTGGGAAATCCTATGGTGATTCAAGACCACTACGAATTCCTGTTGTTCCCAGTAAGTCCCCACGCATATTGCTAACCGCAAACAATTCATATTTGGTGCACAATGAGACTCTAACGGTGAGCCATGCAGCTTGAGGTGAGAAAAAGCCCTGACCTGAGTCTCAAGATCGGGGATAGAAGCCGGCTCTGCATTCTGACCCTGAGCCTCAGTTCCTCACCATAAAATTACGCTTTTAAAAATTAGCCTCCTTCAAATGTGCAAATGGGTGAGAAAATCCTCTACTCCCTGGAAAACACTGTACCAATGGGACTGTGATTCTGATAGGGAGAAGAAGCCCTTTGGACCATTTCACTCAATAATTTCTTCAACTTCAGAGTGCCTGTCACCATGGCACTACACACTGCGGACATGGAGAAGGACAAGTGACAGGACCCTTCCACTTAGCAAACACCCAGTCCACTTCCAGAATTTTATCCCCAGGCTGTAGGTAAGCAAAAGCAAAAACACCATTGCAGGAAGAGATCATTGCAGCGATATCTGTAACAACAGCAATAAAACTGGAAACAACCCAGATATTTGTAAAACAGGATGGTTTCCTCAATTATGCATCCCAATATTTTGATTAGAAAAAATATCTAGCCTACCCACACCTATGCCCTGGTAGGGTCAACCTTGGAGGTGATAGTTTGTTTGAGGGGAGGCAGATGACCCTGCCCCAAGGGGGTGGCTGCTTGGAGGCCGGACAAAGGGGTGTGTGATGGTGACAGGTCACAAAGGACTGTGAAGGATAAATGTGGTGGTGTGAGGAGATTTAGGCAGAGCCCTGCAGGGAGATGGGCAGTTGCCTTCGCTCCCTCTCTCTCTCGGGGACTCGACTTGTGGCTGGTGGAGCTGTCTTAAATGAAGAGAACCATGAGCAGCGAATGTGTGTTACCTTACTACACGGCCCACAGCTACCGTTCAATGGGCGTGTTCAATACCTCCATGGGGGACCTGCAACGACAACTGTACAAGGGAGGAGAGTATGATATTTTCAAGTACGCACCGATGTTTGAGAGTGACTTTATCCAGATCAGCAAAAAAGGAGAGGTGATCGATGTGCACAACCGTGTCCGAATGGTGACTGTGGGCATCGCATCCACCAGCCCCATCCTCCCATTACCTGACGTCATGCTGCTGGCCCGACCAACTAAAGTCTGTGAAGAGCATGCCAGACACGCCCGGACCACCAGGGGGAGAGGTCGCAAGCCCTCAAAGACCCTAGAGCTCACCAGGCTGCTTCCCTTGAAGTTTGTCAAGATCTCCATCCACGATCGTGAGAAACAGCAGCTGCGCCTGAAGCTTGCCACTGGCCGTACTTTTTATCTGCAGCTGTGTCCCTCTTCAGATGCACGAGAAGATCTCTTTTGCTATTGGGAAAAACTTGTCTATCTCCTGAGACCACCAATGGGGAGTTGCAGTAGCACTCCGACAATCCAAACCAGGGACACGACAACCATAGAGGATGACAGAAGCATAGTGGTAAGCATCTGCAGAGACTCAAGACAGCAGGGCAGGGTGCTTTGGGAGAACAGCTCAGGCTGGTTCCACAAAGCCTTTGGTGCTCTCTGAAGCTCACCCGGGAAATGCATTCCGATTTTGAAAAGGCTCAGGGCCAAATGAGCCACCACGATGGCACTTACCACACTAGGGACGCTTGGAGTCCTTCTCCGAATTGTCCCACAAGGCTGAATTTCAGAGAGACCTTAGGTATCAGCTGCTCTGGTCTCATACTCAGGGTTGTAATCCCTTCTACAGCACCCTGATTGTCCAGCCCTTTCATGAGCACTTACCCCAACCCAGACAGTCTCATCGGTTGCAGAACATAGTTAACAGTTAGGAGGTCCTGCCTTCGTTCCAGCTCCCCGTGACTCTCATGTGCCGATTAAATCAGCACACGCGCGATTTGATTTAGCAGCCACCGAAATGTAAAATTTGTAGATCCTTCGACCCAGCAATCTCACTTCTAAGAATCTGTCCTGCAGAGATACAAGCACACACGTGTAAAATAGAAGGGTATGAGGATAGGGAATTGTACCAGTGCTTTCCCCAGCATGGGGATTGTTCATGCGAAACCAAGTGGCTGTTTGACGGGGGTGCTGTAGACAGGATCTTGCATCTACGGGAGCTTAGGTGTGATGATTTCAAAGGTTCTTCTCATTAGAAGCCCTGAAGTTGCTCGGCTCTAGGATGAGAGAGGAGCAGACAGTTCTGGTCTCACTTTGTCATCTCTCTCTCACCTGTTTCTCCTCCCCTCGGCACAGACCTCAGAGCTCCATGGAGAAGGGGATAAGGATAAGGGGCTTCACAAGCCTCATAATGTGTCCAGAGCCACTTCTTCTGCTTATTCTGGGGGAGAGGGAATACATCACGCCCCTCATGGAAATACTGGTTCACCTTTAGGCATGAAAACTCCAAGGACTGCCGAAGGAGCAGCAAAGGGGGCAGCCACGGGCCCGGCCGCAGCAGGAACAGCAGCGAGCCCTACAGCAAGTGTGGCAGGAGCAGGGGCAGCAACAAGCCCTGCAGCAGGTGCTTTGGGTATAGCAGGAACCAAGAGCACGGGCACAGGCCAGGTAAGCACAGCCCTGTCAGGAGCCACCACCAAGAGTCCAGGACAAAGTGGATCCAGCAAGGCCATTGCCGCTGCTGCCAACATATCCTCTGAGTGTATGAACGTGGTCTTGGCGGGTGCTGCAAGCTCGTCCTCGTTAGGTACTTCCACCATAACGGCGGGGGCTGCCAGTCTCTCCCCAGAGAGCAGCTTCGTGTTTGCAGGTGCAACGATGACCAAAACTCCTGCCGCGGGAAAAGCCGAAGGCCCGACGGCCGGGCCCCTCGTCTCCACCTTGCAGAGTGAAGGCTACATGAGTGAACGGGATGGAAGCCAGAAGGTCTCCCAGCCCAGAGCCGAAGCTCGGAAGGAAAAAAAAGAAAAGAGAGAAAAGAAGGACAGAACTTCCACCGGGAAAAGTTCTCGTCACCACAGGACAGGAGGGAGCAAGTCAACCCGGAAATCATCCTCCCACCGGTCCTTATCTGGCCATAGACACACACGAGAAGACAAAAAAGAAAAAGGGCAGGGCCACGTGAAGGGCAGAGGACACAGCTCTCACAAGAGTGCCAGCCACAGCTCCACCATGAAGGAGTCGAGGACAGCTCACAAAGTGGGGAAGAGCAGATCTGCCACCAGTTCAGGTACTTTAAGTAAGAAATCCAGTCGGATTGGCTGTTTTTTCAAGAGCCTCAGAGTCACTCCTGGTTCAAAAACTGTGGTCACACCACACGACAGGGAGGTTGACTTCATAGCTAAGACAGTTGAGAAGTGCAACATAGAGACCACGGTAGAGAAAGCTCCAGGTGGCCAGGATCTGGGGATCTCTGGCACCGTGACATCTGAGACAACGGAGACGATCATCATTGAAGCCAAATCCATTTAAATAAGAGCCAGGGCAGGAAGCTGCAATGGAGACCCAGCCCCACGAAGGTATCCCTAGACAGTCAATTCCAGCTTTCTTTAATAAAAAGAAACCATACAACTCCAAAAGAAATGCTATCTTCTGTTTGAATTTCTATGTCCTGTAGCCCAGTAGTGACTTCACAGTAGCTTCTGTGATGTGAACTGTGCTAAAGCCCGAGACCCCAGCCTCCAGTCAAGCAGCACCTCACCTCCCACCCATGTTCAGCAGAGCCAACACGAGTGCCCCGCCTTGTCTCAACCCCCTTCTGTCTTTGGTTTCCCTAAGACTATGGCTGCAAGTCCACAGACTTGCAGCAGCACCGCCACTATGTCCCCATGCCCTTCTTCCTCTTCCCCATGCCCTTCTTCCTCTTCTCCTCAGTGGTCTTTGAATATGGACGTTCAGTCTAGTCCATAGACTGAAGACAAGACCCATATCTCTTCAGGGCATAATCAGGAGAGGAAAGGGGGGATGCGGCAGCATTTGTAGGCAATCAGAAGAGTAAAGTTTATCATCTAGATCAGGAGTTGGCAGCCTAAGGGCTAAATCTTGCCAACTGCCTGGTTTTGTAAAATTTTATTGGAACGTAGCCACAGCCATTCATTTACATATTGTCTGTGGCTGCTTTCACATTGAAACAACAGATTTGTGTAGTTGCAACAAAGACTGTATGGCCTGCAAAGTCTAATAAATTTACTATCTGGCCCTTTAAGGAAAGGCTTGGCCACGATACATCTAATCTTAACAAGTCTCCTTCCTCCTGGGTATACATTGTGGAGGAACTCTCACATACGCTTGCTAGGAGACAACTAGGAAGATGTTTATGATAAAATAATTTGTAATAACAAAACCCTAGAAACAGCCCAAATGTTCATCAAACAGAAGAACTGATAAATTGTATGTGCCTACAGTGGCTATAATACAGCAGCGGAAGCGAACAGCAACGATCCATGTTAGCATGGATGAATCTCACAAAATGTTAACCAATATAAGCAAATTAGAAAAATGCATGTGATATAGTTCAATTTGTAGAACAGTTCAAAAATGAGATCAAACAATACGTTTGGGGGTAAATATTTGCTAAAAGCATAAACGAAAAACAAAAAGATAGCAGATGTCTATAGGGTGAAAGGGAGGGATGGTCTGAAAAGTACCTACGAAAAGCTTCAACAGAGTGGAGATTGTTCTGTTAAGCAAAGGGATATGTCCACGGTAATTTATTGTTGTACCTTTTTTATTCCAACATCTCTGAAATCAGCATGGTTTTAAATTGCTGTCAGCCAGGTGGCAGTTACTGCCTTAGAAATACCTTAACTAGTTTATTTCACTTATGTTTTCTTTTGCACAAGATAGATGACAAAATACCTAAGTCTGAAAGATATCTTTCGATAGATATAAAATAAAAATTTTAAGTGACATTATACTCAGAATTCCAGAACCTGGAAAAGGTTTAGATATATTGTAGAATAATCCAAAATGCTGTGTACTAATGAGCTCTGTAAAGTATGTATGAATGTGGAAAGTAATTCTCTCCCCTCAAATAAATACCACCTTAGAAATGAGTTTATAACTTTAAAACATGTCTATTGTAAAAAAGAAATTACGTTATCTTTTCAATTTAAAAGAAAGATGTAAATAAATTTCATGAGTCTATGCAAACCATTAAGTTGTTAATGACAGATGATAAAAGTTGAATGTGAGAAAAATAATTCATGTGTATTTGTGTGAGCCTAGGGGTATTCTGCCCCACCTTGAACTTCTTTGCTCGTTCTCTGTGACAACAATGTTTACTAGGATGGAAGCTGAGTTTCCAATAAAACAGGGTGTTTCTCTGGAGAGCAAATGTGTGGTAGAGGTGGAGGAGTGAGAAACGAGGTATTCTGAAAGGAGTAGTGGCTTAGGAATACCAGCGGAAGCCATTCTCAATTGCTCTGGCGGGTGGCTGGAAAATCCCACCTGGTGATTTCTGATATACAAAGACCAATAGATGCTGGGGATCAAGGCATCCTTGTTGACTCTTTAAGCAGTGAATGAATACAGGTAGGAGAAGAGAAAGAGGCATGATCTCAAAGACGTGAAAGGGGCTTTGGGGAAGCCTCCTGGGAATGTGAGAGGTTATGAAGTAGAGAAGAAAGGGGAACTCTTTCCAAAGCCTTTTACTCAGAGCCCCAAATTTACACTAAGCCAGAGGCTGAATTATTGTGGCTACAAATGTCTTAATCTCATGATTCTGTAGACCATGGCTCTATCTTTTGTCCTTCTACTAGTCTTGTTGTATGCACTCGCACCCCCTACCTGCAAAGGGCTCCTTTAACATGAACTTAGTTTGTCCACCATGCAGGGCGTTAGCTGAGTAGACCCGCAATTTACACAAATGCCACCGAAGTAAAGTGGAGGTGGGGACTTGCCCACCACAGTGAGCTGTGCCAGGCACTATCTCTGTATTTCCTTTTCTATCTTGACAGTTCATCAAGAGACGCATGTATAAATATCTACGTGTTTCAAAGCAACAGATCTCTTCTTCTGGAGGGAGAGATCAATTTGGGCACCAAGTCAATATACCTTATCAGAAAAAGGCCAATATTTTTGATAGCAATATTTGTCATCATGGTAGCAATTCTGCTGCTGCAAGTGTGATGAGGCCACGGATGGCTGATCTGCCTGACCCGTGTTCCAAACCAGCGCACAACACATATACATACAAAAGATGAGAAAGGGATCTTTTGCCAACAGTAAAATGAGGTCATTCATGGGGTTATTGTGAGCGAGTGGAGTCTGTCAGACAGAAGGAAGATATACTATGATGGGAAGAAGCAAAGTGCCTCCAGATATTGAAGGCAGTGTCATGGCTGGCGGGGTGAGAGTGATGAAGGAGACACTGCAGAGCACAGTAGGGGACAGGTCATGTGAGGCTTTGAGGTCCAGGTACAGGGTTTTGACTTCTCACTTTAGAGTAATGAAAAGCCACCGAAATGTTTTAAGTAAAGGAGTGACGACTAAATTGGCACTTTGGAAAGGGCACTGTGGTTGCTGTGAAGAGGAATATTTGGGAAGGGTTTTGTTATAATGTGACCTTGTGTCACTTCCTGTCTTTTGCCACGGGATCTATAAAATAAGGAGACTGGAGAGGATGTTTTGAAAAACACCTTTCCATTTGAAATACCCAAGTGGGATGGATATTCCTTCAATGAAGGACTTGTGACCTGGGCTTCTGGAAGTGTGTGGTGCAAGGGCAGACTTAGCTGGCAGTGAGTTTGGAAATTGCCTCAGCTTCAGAGAACTCGTTCACCCGAGGTAAATGCTCTTCCCAGAGCACACAACAAGAACTGATGTGGAGTGTGAAGGTCTGGCCATCTTAGCCCAATGTGGACCAACTCTCAAGGGCCATTCTAGTTCAAGAGCTCCCAGTGGGGCCTGCCCCGCAGCTCGACTCCCTCCTCGGTGCACTCTGCTTCCCTCCTTTCCCATCCACAGGTGCTAAGGGCACTCATCACTAAACATCCTTCTCACAAAGCTCCATCTCAAAATCTGTTTCTCGGGGAACATAGTCTGCAACACTGTGTTAGTATAATGTGCTGTGGGCACCTCCTCTGACTCCACTAACCTTGTGAAAGAGTTGGGATAGCCAGGAAGGGTATTATACACCCTATGTGGTTTTGAATTTAAATAATTTAAAAATAAAATACATTTCCTTATTGCAAAACCGTGTCTATTTTAGAAAGTTTAGAGCATGTACACATGGAAAAGAAGGAAACACACATTCCATTGATTGTCTTGATAATTCACTGCTTACTCAAAAATGGACCGGTTAGAACTACGTATGGTATTAGATGGGTAAGGATTTATCACGGTGATCACTTCATAAGTTTTATAAATGTCTAATCACTGTGTGGTACACCTGAAACTAATATAATATTATATGTCAACAATAATTGAAAAAATATCTTTTTAATGGACTGGATAGATTTTTGCATCCAGAAAGATGGAGTAGTCGTATTTTTCCCTATTCCTCTCACTTGTACAAATAAAGACCTAGCACGTTGTATAAGGCTCCGAAAGGTGGAGATCAGCCAGGGACCACAGGAAATGAGAAACAACATGGCGAGTTCTCCGATTTTCCCTCCTTCCGTCCCTCCCTTCCTTCTTTCCTTCCTTTTTTGTTTCATGCATCCCAGACTTGGAGCTAAAGAAGCTGGCAATCCTGAAAAAAAAAAATGTCCCAAGGAAAACCTCATCTTTCTAGCCAAAGGACCAGGAAAGGAGCCGTGAAAAAAAGATAGAAGCTTTTATACAGTAACTGCCCAATTACAGCCAAACATCACAGAAAAAAAAAAGTGCTGCCAATGCTCAACCCAAACAACCGATAAAATGGGTAGATTTTGTGATGATTCAAAATCAGGTGTGATAATGGCATAGCTACATTTTCTTTGGTGAAATTCCACATAATAATGTCACTGTAGAGTGTAACCACAGTAACAGCTACAACAAGTAATTCAAAAAGGCTTATCTGCCTCTTTTTAAGATTCTAAATCCATTTTAAGATCTTCAACCTGCCAGAGATAACCGGCCTTCAGTGAGACCTCAGTGTCCTTCAGTGGGACCTCATATGTGGGACAAAAATCTTTGGGAGAAAAGTCAGTGTAAACCGAGGATAGTTCCCAAATATCAGGGTTACTGCTACCCCCTGCTGCTAAGGAAAGGTGTAGCAGGCACAAGAAACTGCGGCACCCTCCCCTTCCACGTGCTGCACACAGATCTGGGTTGTTGAGGCTGTTATTAGTGATAAGGTTGTTAGTAACCATGAGACAACAATAACAGCTTAAATGGTGATTACGAATTGAAATTGTACAGCAGAGAACAATGCGTTAGTGATGACTCTCACCCAAAGTGCCTTGCTTCAACAATTTACATGAGCTGATAACAATTATATGTATATGATAAGAAGAAGCAGAAGCTGGAGATGAAAAATTTAATTTGCTAATTTCCATTTCTTCTGCCTGTGCTGATCAACAAGCAGAGACAATCAGTATTATTGATTACTAAGAGCTCAGAGATATTATTTATGAACCTGTCTACCAATGACAGATGTAGTAAGACCAACATACAAAATCAGGGTAAATGGTGCTAGAACAACTGGACTCTCACATGAAAAAACAAAAGGAATTTCAACTCATCTTACACGATATATAAAAATTAACTCAAAAAGTACCTTAGACCTAAATGTAAAACTTAAAATTACAAAACATCTAGAAGAAAATACAGGGGGAAATTATTTTAACCTTAGGTTAGGCAAAGATTTCTTGGCTAGGACACAAAAAAGTGTGATCCATAAAAGAAAACAATTGGTAAGTAGGATTTTATTAGAACTTAAAGATCCGCTATTGTCTAAGGCCATGCTACCCTGAACACTCCCGATCCCGTCTCATCTTGGAAGCTAAGCAGGGTCGGGCCTGGTTGGTACTTGGATGGGAGACCACCTAAGAAGACCAGGTGCTGTAGGTGTAAAAAATAAAAATAAAATAAAAGGACTGCACTGTTAAACAATATACATGGCAAACAAGTTACTCAACACTAGGGAAATGCAAATTAAAACAACTACACAGCTATTAGAATCACAACGAGTAAAAGTAAAAAGGAATATGCCAAGTACATATGAGGATTTACAGCAACTGCAACTCCCACGGTTTGCTAGTAGAAATAAAAAATGGTACAGCCTTTTCAGAAAACTTCTTGACACTTTCTTATATACGTAAACATATAACTATTACAAGGCTCAGCAATTCTATTCTTATGTAGTTACTCAGAAGAAATGAAAACATACAAAGATGTCTATATGGATGTTTAAAGGATGGAAAATAGCCCAATGTCCAACAACTGGTGAATAAATAAATGAATTATTATTTTACCTTCGTACAACGGAATACACATGCAATAGAATACAAGACTTTTTGCCTTTTTTATTTTCTAGAACAGTGCCTGGCAAAGTAGATGCACAATAAAGATTTGCCAAATGAATGTATTCCTTGTTAAGTTATACGAGGAATCTTTAAGGAATAAACTTTCCATTCAGATTCCGGAAATACAGCCACATAAATATGTTATTATATGCCATATTTTCACTAGCATCTCTCATAATATGAATTTCATACCATTATTCAGGTGTAGTTTCTTGTAAAGAACACAAGACTGAGAGTCGAGTCCTAGATTTTAGCCTCGATCCTGCCACTAAGACATTACACCTTTGAGTCCAGTATATCCATTTCCAGAAATTTACTTATTTCTAAATATGACTAATACAAAATGTGGTATGGTAGTTTCAATGGAGTATGGGAGAAAGTAAAAGATGAATTTTTAGATTTGAGACTTTGCAACTGAGTGAAGTGCTAGTGAGTAAAGATGTGTAGTACTGTCAGATATGGAGTCTGAGTGCAAATAAGAAGGGTGTTGCCAGGGCCTGGCTAGCACCCGGATGTTACCACCTGGATGACATCCCATTGAGAAGTGAGACCTGAGCCTTGGGTCAATTCAAATGATCAAATGTGCCAAATACTGCTGAGTGGAGTAAAATGAGAAGTGAGAATGACCACTGGAGGGCACAGGTATAGGTCACATTGGTCTCAGTGGTAGCGAGAAAAGCTTGATTAGGATATGCTCAAAAGTGAATGGATTTCTTCAACAAATAAATTGATGAGGGGAGGGAATTGAGATGGGGGAAGGAATCTATAGATTAAAACGTAATTAAAAGACAAATTAGGTAGTCACCAAAGGGAGGACTTTATTAGATCCTGCAGCAGTTGGTGTCCAAGTACTGACTTGATTTTGGTGATATTAATTTATTTAAAAAATGAGTTCTACGATTATGTAAAAAAGAGTTATTTTTTAGCGACGTATGTTGAAATGAAATAATGTCTATAGGTAGACAATTGTTGAAATTGGGCAACGGGTACACTGTTCTATTCTATGTCTACTAACACTAAGAAAGAAATTATCTGCCAAGGACTTCTTCTGGTTCAGTGGGCACAAATTCATAACCAGAGTCTAGAGGCTGACAGAAGCTTCTTATCTACTCTGCATTCCAGGGGGAACCCACAGAAAGAGCTGCCAGTGTCCTATAAGGTGTACCTGCCCGAGTCAACCCTTATATAAGGGAGTTTCTGGTATAGCCTTTCCACTAATGAGCTGAGACCTACTCTGTCTAATGGAAACTGCACAGCTATAGCCTCATTTGCATCTTTACTGACCAATCAGAGCAGCTCAAGAACAACCAATCAAAATATGCAATTCTGACCAATCTAGATCATGCTATTTGGACCAATCAGACTGTGCAAATTTGGATCCTTCATTTGTACACAAATAGACCAATCAGGGACTAAGGTGGGAACTTTCTGTATAAAAAGCCGCCTCCCGTTTCTGTTTAGGGAGGGCATACTTTCAGTGTCTAGTGGATGGAGTTTCTTTTGTTGGCGAAGTGTTTTCCTAAGTAGTTTTCTTTTTCTCGAACCCGGGTCTGCGGACTCCTGGTGGCTTTAAATTGGTGGCAGCGACCTTTAGTTGACTTTTGGAATTCTCCGTAAGAAATGTTAAAAAAGGGGAATCAAAGAATCTTATTTTAGAGAGATAATGTGGAGTTTTATCAGATTAACAATCTTATTTTTAATGTGCAACATGCTCTTGTAAGAGTCCTATGAATTTAGAAGTTTGTGACACCGCTAATGAAAATAACCTCCAAAAGAAACCTTTAAATTTTTTTTTCTTAATTTGCTCATTTGTTGCTTCGAAATACAGTAGATTATCTCTGAATTCCTAATAACAATAGAAGTGAATGGATGGTGAAGAAATGGTAATTGAGAATATATTATTGATCCCCAATCATGATCTCAAATATTTACAGATTAAAAAAATATAGTTTATAGAATCCCAACCTCATTGTCTAAAATATTTTTGACAGCGGGGTGAGTCGCAATAATTTCAAAAATACTCGCTTACCTGTATTTTCTAACTTTTATGTAAGGTATAGATGTCTTGTTTAATTTCAAGCATTAAAAAAAATAAATAAATAAACAAAAAAAAACAGTGCTATTTTTACTGATAGAAAGTAGATAACTCCCCCCACTTTAAACCCGGCTGGTTACCGCGCTCTCAAATTGCCATAAAGCGGGGCTGGGGCGGGGGCGGGGTATGCGCAGGCGCAATAGCGTGCCGGCTGTCTGAGGCGGGACTAGCGCTTCGGTTAAAGGACAGCTCTTTCAGTCAATGAACGGACAGCATCAGTGGCTTCCTCCTGGCGGAGGACGCCGGAAGTCGGATTTCTGGTGCGGTGCGGAAGGCCACTACAAGAGTAAACCCTGGGATCAGGTGAGTGCGTGGCGACGGCGTGGGGCTCCGTTCCGTGTGCGTGTTTCTCCGGGCCCCGCAGTTTCGTCAGGACGGACTGAGAATGGGGGAGACCTGGCGTGTAGTGCGCTCGTTCGCGGTTTTGTCCCGCGTCCTTCTGGGCGCGCCGCCTCCCCGCCGTTCGTGGAGCCCGGGGTGGGCGTGCCAGCGGGGCTCGGGGCTTCCTCGGTTTGAGAAGGCCGAGCAGGGCTGGAGGATGGGAGCCCTGGCTTCTTGTTCCGCGCCGCCGGTTTACTAAGCTCTGCGGCCTCGGCGAGCTATTTGGCCTCTGCGGCCCTTGTAAATTGAGACTACCAACCGTACCCGCCCTTTTCAGGGGGCGATCCTGAAATCGCTGAATTAATAGGGACGGGGAAGGGGGGTAGGTCCCTAGTCTCATCGTCCAAGATTCCTCTAAAGAGTTTTTAAAAACTGCTTTGTAGCAGTCCCATTCACAGTAGACAAAGTGAATTAGATGTCGGGGAGTGGTACCCTGGAATGCCTTTCTTTTTTGGTTTAGATTCCCCTCCCAGGATGGAACAAACACTAGAGGGCCGATCTTGGGTCTAATAACCGGCCATGATACCTGAAAGTTTTTCTGAAGATTTTCATCGCCTTTGAAAAGTTCAGTCTAGAGAAGTGATAGAAAATTAACTAATTTCAGTAATACGTCAAGTTCCTTTAGTACAGCTGGAGGCTACGCAGTTTACTGATTTAAGAGAGCTTGTGCTCTGCTGCTAAAAAGACCAAGGATAATTCATGCTGTGTACTGTTTACTAGCCTTTTGATCTGGTGCAGACACTTCCCCCTCATTGAAACTTGGGATCCTTACCTCTAAAGTGAAATTAATGATAGCACTTAACTCAGAATTGTTAAAAAGATTAAGAAGATACAAAACAATGGTGCTTGTCACGAAGTTAGCCTTGAGAAAATGGCAACTTCAATAGAATGCCATTAGTGCAGGGAAGCACAAAAACAGTACCCGCGGCCTAAAAAGGCTTGAGTGGGCTGAAACCTGGGCTGTCTAAAATTTATCGTGACGTACCAGATCAAAGCTTATTCTGCTCTTAGTAATTATGTCGTGAATAAGAGAACATCCTCGTTTTGGGGACTTCCAGTGCATTATTTTGGAGTAAAGAGCTCAATAGGGCAAGTGAGTGAAAATGTTAACATTTGGAGACTGGGTGAAAAATATGAAACATTCTTTGTACTATTCATACAACGTTTCTGTAAGTCTGAATTTATGTTAAAGTTTTAAAAAGTTGATTACAACTGTTTGCAACTGTCATAAATTAGTGAATAAATGAGACAGTACACAGTGTTTGTAATCGTCAACCCGTGGAGTTTTACCCCTTTTTTCTTAATGACTGTATAAACATGTAGGCATACTTTATCTAGCCCTCATATTGATGAAATCAGGTTGATTTCAGCTTTTTCTACTCTTCACTTCTGCATTAAACATCATTATCACATTTTTCGTGTACTTGTACCAATATTTTTATAGGACAAATTTCTAGAAATAAAATTGTTGGTTCAAAGAATTTTTGGATACTGCCAAATTAAATTCCAAATATGTTTGTTTCTTTTTCTGTCATTTGGTAAGAGAATTTCTCATATTCTCTTGGGTAGTAGTGGCTTACCTGCTAAGAGTTGTTACATGGTTGTGATGGTGGCCTCTATGAGAGCTTAGGTGAATGGATGATCTTCACTCCAAAAGGCTTCTGTGAGGGACCAGGATAGCTAAAAGCCTGCTTCTAAAATTGGGATGACCATTCTGAAGAAACAGGAAGTAGAGTGTGACCTCAGCTGGGAATCGAGGCCTGCCACAAAAATATTCTTATATTTGTTCAGTGATGGAATATTTGAAATCTCGATAATCCATTACATAGAAAGTACCCTTTTTAAAATTTGTTTTTAAAAAGTTTTAGCCTGAATATTTTCCCACCTTAAGCATTTGCCTTTCCTTGTCATCTTTTGTCTATTTTCCTTTTTAATGCATGTGTTTTAAAAAAAAAACATTAAATGGACCTTTATAGAGGATCTAGTGCCTTCCAGGCATTTTTCGAGGTACAGGAGATTGAGAGGGAGTGGCTAGTGAGGTAGGAGAAAAACATAAATTTAGCTGAGAGAGGAGTGTGTATTGAAAAGAAAGAAAATGCTGCTGATAGGTTAAGATCACCTTAGAAAAATAGCCAATGGATTTGATGATGTGCTTATTTAATGACCTTGATGAGCACTTTTTGTGGAGATAGGAGATTGAAGCCAGGTAGATAATGATGAAAAGGAGTAGTTAGTAAAGCAGTGAATTGTGGGCTGGTATAGTTACACTAACACATGATGCCCATGGCCACTGCCTCAATGATTCTCAGTAGCATTCTGCCACTGTGGCTTGGGAGAAACTCAGGGATGCTCCACAGCTGCCTCTAGAACGTCAGAAATTCCAAGTATTAAAACTACCTCTAGTACATCACTTGCCATTTCTGATGTTGGATGGTGGTGTTATATATCTTGAGAATCTGATAGAGTCAGTCTAAATGAGCACTTGGGATCTTCTCATTTTATGATATATTTAAGCTCAAAGTGAAATAGATATTATCGTGGCCAGAGAAGATACACTTGGGTTTGACATTTCTGTAGTAGATGTTGAAAAGTTAATGTTGTTCACAAAAAATTGTAGATAGAGTACATTGCAGAAAAAAAAGGACGGAATTGGATCATCATTTTATCAGGCTCGGATGATACCAGCTGTCTGGAATATAGAATTGTTACATTCATAATTGCATTATAATGACATAATGTGAAAGTGTTTATTAGAGTTATAAGTAAGTATTCACTTTTGGAAATCTATAATATAAAACAAAAGTGATTGTGACATGAGATTGGGAGACAACATGGATAGGGTGGCTGTGGGAAGATGTAGAGAAATGGAGCATAACTGGGGAAGTGTGGAATCTAGAAGATTTTCTTTATAGATGAAAATATACTACAGCATATTTTTTGTGCCTATAAAAGTATTAAGTAGAGAAGGGAAAATACTTAGATAATTAAGAAACATGATGCTAATTAGAAACGATGGCAGCCTTTCCCTGTTGTAAATGTTAGTTTTAGAAACTAAGATCATTTTGTCCTGGATTCCACGCAGCCAGGGCAAAAAAAAAAAAAAAAAAAGAAAATGTTCTGTCTCTAGTCACTCAATGTGACAGGATTGTTTTGCAGAGGTACTCTAAATCTTTGGTCTATTTCTGTAGGTTCTTGATCTTCCACAATGGGTGAACCACAGCAAGTGAGTGCCCTTCCACCACCTCCAATGCAATACATCAAAGAGTATACAGATGAAAACATTCAGGAAGGCCTAGCTCCTAGGCCTCCACCTCCAATAAAAGACAGTTATATGATGTTTGGCAACCAGTTCCAGTGTGATGATCTTATCATCCGCCCTTTAGAGAGTCAGGGCATTGAACGACTTCATCCTATGCAGTTTGATCACAAGAAAGAACTCAGAAAACTCAATATGTCTATCCTTATTAATTTCTTAGACCTCTTAGATATCTTGATAAGGAGCCCTGGGAGTATAAAAAGAGAAGAAAAGCTAGAAGACCTTAAGCTGCTTTTTGTACATGTCCATCATCTCATAAATGAATACCGACCCCACCAAGCAAGAGAGACCTTGAGAGTCATGATGGAGGTGCAGAAACGTCAACGCCTTGAAACAGCTGAGAGGTTTCAAAAGCATCTGGAACGAGTCATTGAAATGATTCAAAATTGCTTGGCATCTTTGCCTGATGATTTGCCTCATTCAGAAGCGGGGATGAGAGTAAAAAGTGAACCGATGGATGCTGATGATAGCAACAATTGTATTGGACAGAGTGAACAACAAAGAGAAAATTCAGGTCATCGAAGAGATCAGATTATAGAGAAAGATGCTGCCTTGTGTGTTCTAATTGATGAGATGAATGAAAGACCGTGAAAGATGTTTGTCTTTTTTTTCCTTTCAGTAAATAGCATCATATAGTAGTTAATTTGCTCTAGGAGAATCTTAAAAGAGATATAACTAGTAGTTATATAAATGGCTTCACTCTCCAACAATTTTCTCAGTTATGAGATTTCCCAGGCAGTAATTTCACTTTATGCCAAGCATAGGCATGGATGGCTATGTTAAGATTAATCAACTTAATCAAAGTACTGCTGTTGTGTGGAACATTCCTGTTTTTGGAGTTGCAGTAAACGTTGAAGATAATCCTCAGTAATAGCAAGCTTTCATTCTTGAAAAGTAGATCTGTTATTTGTTTTAAGAATGATAGATAAATAAAGAATATCAAGCTGTATAAATGTGAAATTATGAAATTTAAATTTTGTTTAAAAATCTGCTTAATCTCTAAAGTATCATAACATGTTAAAAGAGAGGAACTCCATAGAGTTATAAAACAGCAATTTTATTTTTCCTCTTGACTGCCCCTGTAAACAAGCAATATCTCAGCCTCTTGCCTTTATCCTGGATAGGTCTTATGACTTTTTTCAGTCATTAAGTTTTTTGATCCCTTTTGGTTATAAACATTCATTTTAGTAATTAAAATGTTTATATAATTAGCTATACATTTCCTTTAAAGTTAAACTCAGATTTGCTTAAGGCTAGAAGCCTGCAATGGGAAGGGGGTTTGGTGGCAGAAACTATTAGATGTTCACTGGAGATTCTTTCTCCCCTCAGATGTTGCTGAAATAAGGCTGCCTTGCCATGGACTACATGTCTCCACTCCCCTTGCATCTATGGAAGGCCATGTGACTGAGTTCTTAGCCGTGGAATATGGGTGTAGAAATCCAGGCCTGCCCCATACTTGGATGATCCTCTATTCTCATCCACTGGTTGGATGGCCACACCCAGGACCACTTTGGAAGCCATCTTGAAGATGGTAAAGATTATCAGTTTGGATCCTTGAATGACTGAGGACTAGGCCTCCTTTTCATTAACTGTAACCTCCGCATCCCCAGCTGATTTGACTTTATGTGGGCAAGAATTGGCCTTGTTTTAATCACTGAGATTTTATTTCTGTGTTTTTTTATGCCCTCCAACTTCACCACCAAAGTCTTGGTAGAGAGTCTGCTTTGTATATGAGGCTCTCTGTTGGCCTTTCTGTTAATGTAGGCCAATGGCTCTCAAAGTGTAGTCCTGAACCAGCAGCATCAGAATCACTTGGGAATTTGTTAGAAATGCAGATTCTTAGGCTTCACCCTAGAAATACTAAAACGCTAGGGGTCGTGCCCAACAAGATATTGTTTAACAAGCCCTCAGGTGTTTCTGATGCACACTCAAAATTTAAGAATCACTGATAAGGTAATGCCTTTTCCCAGATGTTCACTTTGATTCTTCACTCAGTCCCTGGTTTCCAGTATATCATCCTTAAGAAATTTGCTCTGTTAGGGTCTCCAGCCCTAGAGTTAACAAAGACCATTTTAAAGTGGCCACAGGTCAACTCTGTATGTGAAACACTCATCCTTTTTTTCAGAAATAGGAGTGTAGACTGTTCCCAAGTAGATCCTCTCTATTAGATAAACAGCTAGTTTGCAAGTCTGATTTTTTTCTGGTATGTGTTTGGTGTAGATCTTTGGGCTCCAGAGACTCCAGAGGACACAGTCCAGTCTCTCTTAAGCTTCAGTTGAGTGGGGAGGGGAGCCCCTCCATTTGGGGGAGCAAGCGAGACATTGTGTAACACTCGAGCAACTCTCCAAACATGTCTTTATTTCTTTGACCTCAACCCTTTTATATCCTTGAGGATATTGAGCTAAGAGGTACAAAACCAATTTTTGGCTGCTGTGTGGGAAAAAAACATTGAAACAATGTTGCTCAAGAGTCACAACATTTGTATATGAATTTGTGTGTTGGGAGAGAAGCGATTAAAATTCTAAGAATCTTAAATTGTGACTGAGAGGATTGGATCTTGCTAGTCTTTTAAAAAAAGTTTTGATGTGTACTATTATAGTGGAATGAAGGAGCACTAGTGGGCTGATAGTCACAAGCTTAGAAGTTTTATATAAAGTCTTCCAATCTTGGGAAGGTTAAAATAACCTCTCTGCACACCTGTTTATAATGAATATTCCTGATAGGTTGATTCCTCAAAGTGAAATGCCTGGGTACCCTTTAAAATTACCAATCTAGGCCCCAAACTACAGAGATTATTTCCTTGTTCTGAAGTGGGGCCTTGGCATTGGTTTTAAGAATCTCTAGATTACTGTGCAGTGGGTTAAAGGAATGTTGTTAGTCTGTACTCTCCTCTTGAACTAATTTAATAAAAAAGATGAATTTGTTGATACTGTGTTGTTACATGTTTGAACAATAAGCTGAACATCTAAACTCTGAAGAGGACTGGGAGAGTCTGTCTCCAGGGACTCAAACTCTATCCAGACCCCGTCTCTGTCTTCACTGCCAGTTTAATTCTCTTTACAGCCCAACTTTTTTCATATAGATGGAGAACATGGTTGCTAATAGCTCCCAAGTGTTAAGTTTTTGTATACCAATACTTGGGAGTTGTCTCTCAAAAAAAAAAAGTT